GGTCTTTCCCCAGGCATCTACGCCTTACCTTCTCTGTGCCGACTAATGCCCAGAACTCCTTTCATCCTTGAGAGGAATCTCTTCCATACTGTAGACGTCCAATCCCATCTGGTTTTCCCATTTCTAGAGCCCTGCATGTGTGCAGAATTTGTATCTGCGAAAATAAGCGGTGGATATCTACAGATATAGAGCAGACGTCCACGGATTTGCAGGGCTTTCCTGATCTCAGGCTGGGTGGAGACCTGGAATAATTACTCTGCCGGCTGTATACTGCTGTGTTGTGGGCTTCAGTCCTGGTGTTTTTGCATGTGAATTCAGCCTCACGTAGGTTTTGTCTATAACTGCAGCATTAAAGCGCTGCTCCAGCAGCACATTCCCACAGCAGAGTGGTGACAGCAGAGTTCTCCCAGCGCTCTGTGTGCACCATTTCCAGGGCTGGAACGATGCTCCTCATGGAAGCCCGTCGCCAGTGGCAAAGGACTGTACTGAAATTTGCTTTGCTCGGGAATGTGAGTTCTTTATCCCCCTGAGCAAGAAGGTTTCAGCGCAGTAACTCGCCCGTGTAGACAAGCCCTTAAATGATGGGTGTCTGTCTCTGTCTCCCTGTCTTTGTCCTGCTGCAGGTACCAATGAGGTGATGAGGATGATTGTGGCCAGGAGTCTGTTACAGGAATGAAATCAGGATCTGGTCTCTAGCCTTGCCGCACTCCATTTGCTCCCGAGAACATTGTCTACTGCTCCTGTGTCCGTAGATTCTCCCTGCAAGTGGGAGATGGGAATGGACCAGTGGAAACTCTCTTGATTTTTTCTGATCCTAAGGACAGCTGAATGCAGCCCAGCTGTATGTGGTGATTGGCAGAGCTGCAGGTACTTGCCTGGTCTCAAGGACACTGGAGATAAAAATCAGACATGGAGGAAAGCTTTTGCCCCTGTGTCCTGATCGTGGGCCATTGCTGGTGCCTTGCCCCTTCACAGACAGGAGCACTAGACCTGTGGGGTCATCCAGTCTACCTTTGTATCAGGACTGATTAAAATAGGGGGGGATCTAGACAGCCCTTCCCCTTCCCTGAGGTGTTTCAAAGGCTGGTGTGGAGTGGAGGCAATTTCAGGCAGAATTGTGCACACGCATGCTCTCTCTTTTATGACTCAGTAAGGTGACTCTTCTGAATCATAGGGAGAACCTGTTGCCTTGTTTTCATCCTTACTTTATGGCTGCTGCAGCACAGCAGCTTGGAAAGATTGTGTTTGTAAATTGTTCCAAAGTGAAATTAAGCCCCGGGAAGGGGATGGGGCATGCCTGGTGCTCATCTGAAGCATCGCTGCCTCTCATTTTGTGAGTTCTCTTACCTAATGAAACTGGCTCTTGAGCCTGTCTCAACCAGTGTTTTCATTTGCATTATGAATCCTGGCATGAGCAGCGAGTGACTCTAGATCTGGGGGAGGCAAGACCCCAGACCTGCCCCTGCTGTCCAGAGCCCTGTGGGAGCCAACTACCCACCCCTCCAAGTACAGAAGGGAAAGGTGAGTGGCATCTGACCCCAGCCAAAGTACGGGGAAGAGGGAGAGCAGGTGGCACCCGGCTTCAGCCTCCTCAGCCCCTGGAGAGCTGACAGCCTGGTCCCAGACTTGGAGGGTGGGGGACTCCAGGTGGTGGGTGCTGCTGGTGGTGGTGGTGTCCTCTTTCTCTCCTTCTGGAGTGTGTGTGGGGGGGCAGGCTGGCAGTTAGGAAGGCATTCGCTGCCCATGAATCCTGGGTAATGAGATTCAGGGGATAGATGAAAAATACAAACCTCGCAAAAGAGAACCTGAGATCTTCCTTACCCCCCAATTACCTCTACCCAGCAATGTATAATAGGAGCAGCGCCAGAGTTTTGATCAGTTTTACTTTTTTTCCCCCGCTCAGTGTCAGAACCAATAAAGCTATGGGAGTAAAATCACTAGGGGGGATTTCATCAGTTCCGGTCATTCACTCTTTCTGCAGCATTCTTGTTCTTTAATTGGAGCATATTCCCTTTAGTTGATAGAATCAACTTGTTTAATGGAAAACCCTAACGGTTAGTAATAACATGCATTTCTACGGTCCTTTAAAGTGATTTACCAACTACCCACCAGAAAGGGGCAGTAAGTGACCGACATACTCATTTGACAGATTGGTAAACTGAGGCATAGAGCAGGGAAGTGACATGATAAAGAGGTAATGGCAGAGAGCTTACTTTCTATTCCTGGCTTTAATCATTGGGCACATTCCTTTTTCAGTGCCTATCACAAAAAATGACTAAGGTGGACATGGGAGATTCTCCCCTTACGCACCCCCCAATTTAAAGGGAGTGCAGTAACTTGTGTGTTCATCTTACAGTATAAAAGGTGAAGTAACAGATCCTTCCAGGTGGAGAATGGGGAGGAAAGGATTGTCACACCAAAGCATTAACTGTTCTGGATTTGTCTTTGCTTAGTTTACAACGGGTGGGGAACCTTTTTGGGTTCACGGGCCGCTGACTTAGAAAAATCAGTCGGGAGCTGCACACAAGTGAGAAGATTTTGTGTGCTCCAGCCCCAGAGTGGGGGAGGGAGCTGAAGCACCCACAGGGGCTCCCCAGTGCTGTGGGGAGGGGGGGCCCTAAGCCTTGGGGGCTGGAGCCAGGCAAGCCAGGGGCTGCATCGGAACCCCGGGCCTTAGGTTCCCCATCTCTGGTTTACAACATGGTAGTCAAGACCTAATTGTTTTGACAGTGTCACTTAGCAGTAGTGGCACACTTGTTCCATCTGCACACTTCAGCAGTGTGGTAACTCGCTCCACAGGCACTAATCTTTGCAGACTGGATTCGTAAAAGCTAAAATCCAAACTGACTACTTAATGCTTGGGTAAACAGATGACTACTGCCCTGTTAATTTTTTAAAAAAAATCAATTTTCTCTAAAGAAGCCTTGTTTGGGCCTCTCTAAATATTTGTCAAGCACTGTGGAAGCCAGCCACAGAGCCTGCGATGTCTTATCTCCCTTTCATTGGCTTGCTTGGGCCAAAGTGCTCTGCAAACTCAAATTTATGTATTTGGCTCAATGTGGGGCTGTGATATAAATAACTTGAATCTAGCTTAGCTGCCTATAGCAAGAAGGTTGTTACCCTGCAGGCTTCAGCACCTGTGTAAACTGCATTGATCTACATCTAGTGGTATGCCTACACTGGCAATTGCCAAAACTTTTGTCATTTAGAGGTGCTAACACCCCCCCCCACACACACACACACTCACACATGCACCAGTCCCAAGACAAAAGTTTTGTTTCTGCAAGCTTCAGTGTAAACAGCGTGTTGGCAGCAGGAACACTGTCCTGTTGACAGCATGAATGCTGTTCTGTGTGGGTGGAAGGATTTTGTTAACTAAAGTACCAACAAACAATGCCTATGCTGACTGACTTAATAAAACAGCCGTATCACTAAAAGATATGGAGTGTAGACAAAGCCATGGCTTGGGGAACCATAGAGACCTCAGAAGGTCAAGTCCAGCCCCCTGCTCTAGGCAGGACCAATCTCAACTAAATCAACCCAGCCAGGGCTTTGTCAAGCCGAGACTTAAACACCTCTAGGGATGGAAACTCCACCCCCTCCCTAGGGAACCCATTCCCGTGCTTCCCCACCCTCCTAGTGAAATAGTTTTTCCTAATATCCAACCTAGACCTCCCCCACTGTAACTGGAGACCATTGCTCCTTGTTCTGCCATCTGTCACTACTGAGAACAGCCTCTCTCCATCCTCTTTGGAACCTCCCTTCAGGAAGTTGAAGGCTGCTCTCAAATCCCCCCTCTTAGCTTCTGCGGGGAGGTGGAGGCAGGTGTATTTAACGCTAAAATCCACCGTCACAGTTGAGAAAGGTAGGCACCTTGGTTCCCGATGTTGGTTTTTTAAAAAAAGTGGAGTGACAGCTTAGCCCAAACGCCACTGGCTGGGTCCCGGGGTGCAGGTGTGCGGGCTGCAGGCACTGCCAGGCGCACAGAGGGGTGCAAGGTATTTGAGCTTTTGGCCAAGCCAGGCGGGGCCAGTGGAGCCCTGCTGAGCCCTGCCCGCTGGCGCTGCGCCCAGGTGGGACGATGCCAGAGGCTGGGGAAGGGTCTATTGCTGGGGCGCCCCCTGTGCCCGGAGGCAGGGGCTGCCCAGGAGCGTGCGGCCGGACGGGCACGTGCGCTGGGGGAGGAGGGGCGGGGCTGAC